CTTCGATTACTTTATCAATATTAGAAACATCCTCTTCAAAATACTCAGAAGGGAGTTTGTAGTATTTATTAACTTTAAGTATATCTTGTGCTTCTTTATTCATTAAATTTCTATCGAGGTCTTCAGGTGTAAAATTTGCTATTTTTGGCCCTTCATCTTCTTTAGGTGGCTCTTCAATCGCATCAAAACTAGGTAATTGAGCCAAATCCAATTTTTTTACTTCGTCAAGTTTATCAAATCCCTCAGTTATAGCCATCCTGTTTTGATTAAGTCCTTGTGTAAGAGCAAGTTGATTAGCTTTGAGTTGTGCTATAGTTACGTTTTGTTGTTCGTCGATACTTTTTTTAATGCTATCTTGAGATTTAATAAGTGGTTTAAATGTCTCTTTAAAACCTTCCCGCATATCTTGTTTTTGCCATTTTGTTGTTTTTATAACATCTCTAACCTGCCGTACCAAAGCGTCGGCTTCGATTTTATTTCTCGCAAATTTTTTAGCTTCTTCTATATCCATTTTATTTAATCAATAGATAAAAATGGAAATACCAAACTATGATAGTACCGATGACATTGATAAAAAATATAAACAGCTATTTCCTTTTATGCCGGCGGATACGTTTCGAATGTTAATCTGTGGAAACAGTGGAAGTGGTAAGACTAATTTGTTATATCATATGTTAATCAAACCACTGTTGCATTACGATGAGATTTATCTTTACGCACGTAATCTAGAACAGGATAAGTATCAAAAGTTAATTCAAAAAATGAGGGAGTTGAGTAGTAAAATTGGATATGAAATACTTCATGTGAGTAACGATGAAATAACACCGGTTTCAGAAATGGATTACGAAGACAATCAAAAACTTGTGATATTTGATGATTACGTCTGTGATAAAAACTAGAGGCGAATTATTGATTATTTCATCCAAGGTCGACATAAGAATTGTTCTGTTATCTATCTCAGTCAATCTTTTTACAAAACTCCAAAGGATATACGGCTAAATTGTTCTCACTATTGTGTGTATGAATTTCCATCATCGAGGGAATCCAATATGATATCATCCGAATTAGGAGTTGACAAAGAGGCGTATAAAGCAGCAACTAGAGAACCCTTTACATTTCTATACGTTGATAAACCCAGAAAACGTATTGCTAAAAACTTCACCAGTAATATAACCTTATAATAAATGGGAATATTTAACGAACAATCGTTTGGTCATCCTTTTGCTAAAGGAATACAGGGCGCACCAGGAGTTGGATTTAGTCTAACCGCAAATGGAAATTATGATATTAATAAAAAAAGACTCACAAATGTAGGAGCACCCACTGATAATAATGATTCCGCTACAAAGAAGTATGTTGATGATAATTCCAGCCTATCATCAACAACACATCTAAAAGTTGATTCAAACATTGATATGAAGAATACATACCGAATTACAAATCTTAGCACACCACTGGATGGAAAAGAACCTCCTACAAAAGATTACGTAGACAACACATTTCTTGACAGAGATGGTTCTTACCCAATGAAAGGTAATCTCAATATGGGTAATAATCGAATATTTAATCTACCAGCTCCAAATGGAGGTAATCAACCAACACCATTAGCTTTAACAGATTTGAAGTATGTTGCCCGTGATGGTTCATCTACAATGACTAATAATCTAAACTTGGATAATAAAAAAATAATTAACCTTAGACCACCAACATCAGACAATGAAGCGACAAACAAAAAGTATGTGGATGACTTAATACCTGATATTAGTTCTTTTATAAATAAAGATGGAAGTATATCAATGACTAATAACCTAAATCTTGGAAACAAAAAAATAGTTGGTCTCGCAACACCAACAGCTAATGATAACGCTGCAACCAAAAAGTATGTGGATGATAATGTTGGAAGTATAGATTTAAGTGATTATTTGGAAAAAGATGGCACTGTAACTATGACTGGAAACCTTAATCTTGGTAATAATAAAATAATAAATCTTAGTAAGCCAACCCAAAACAATGACGCAGTAAATAAAGATTACGCTGACAAACTAGTTCATCACACTGCAGTTCAACCAAGTCATTACAAGGATCAGTTTGCTTATCTCATGTCAAGTGCGGCTCAATGGACTGATGAAATAGATACCGGAACCAGTTTTGTTATAAAAAGAATAGGAGATTTAGCACCAAACAAAGGAAACTTTCATGATTATAACCACAAAGTTATTTTTATGGGTATAAACAAAAGTTCTCAAGGAGGATATAAGTATAAAATGGGAATCAACTTTTTCAGGTTAAGTGCAAATACTGAATACACACTGTGTTTAGAAATACTCAACACTGATTATCAACTATGGCATAAGACTCAAATAAGTGTAGACAAAGGAACTTCAACAGGATTATCAATTGGAAATGTTAGTGTAAGGAAACTATCTCATAGGTACACACAATCAAATGGGCAACCACAATTTATGTACTACCATAGAATAATAGTTAATTTCCGGAAGTTGTCAACTGGTAATAAGTTCTTTCTTCACATTTTGGTTAATATGCCACAAGATGGAATTGACTTGGGTGTGTATCCGAGACAGTTTTCAGGAGTTTATATAATTACTTATGGAATTGTGGGAACATTTAGCAATATCGATCCAGATAAAGTTTATGATTATCACACCGCATTTGATATCAAACCAACACAAGTGGTTTACAATGTTGATATTAATGCAAATAATAAAAAAATATTTAACGTTAATCTTGATAGAAACAGTAACAATATCGCAGCAACAGTTGGAATGGTAAAGGAATTGAATCCTCACACTATAAACAATCTTTATAGGGAAATTTTTGAAGAAGTTTATGATTTTACTAACGCCGCTAATTACAAATTAAGTAGTACCGCATCTGGTATTGTTTTTAACAATTTATCTTCAAGTAGTGGTAATACTTTAAGAGATATAAGAATACCTGATAAAACCATAGATAATATAAAAAAAGAAGGTCTAAATGTTAACGGATATTTTATTAGTTTTTCTCCTCCTGATGGAATAACAAAATATACTTTATGTATTGTTTTTTATCATTGGAGAAATAGAATTTTTTATTTAACTAAAAATGATACAAATAGCGGAAATATTTTATTAAAATTAGATTATGAATCTTTAAATAACAAAGTAAGTTTAAATGTTAATAAACTAAAAAGTTCTTTGACCATACCAAATGATTTTAATGGGAAAAAAATTGTTATATGGTTAACAGAAAATTTTGACGCAAATATTACAAAAGTTAAAATAAGTAACTACAGCGCAATATTAAGTTTACCATCCGTTCGTTACTCCAACGAACAATATTTTGCGTTTAGAACTAATGATGGAGCTATAAGCAAAATAATGTTTTCTCCAAACTTTTACGACACTGATTCTGAGCAATATCATAAAGTATTGCTTCAAGAAAAGTTAAATGGAAGTTATGTAATTTAGATAGGTGTAACCAAGGGAGTGGTAATAATATAAACAAAAGAATAAAATGAAGGATATCTTTGAATTTAATCACATTGATAAATCTTTGTCAGAATCAGACGTTAAAACCCTCAAAGACTTTTATAAACACTACCACAAAAAATACTGGTGTTTTAAGAAATCATATAAAAGTTATAAATTTCTTGATGATGTTTTTACAATATCTGGGATATGTTTGGTTGCAATTGGAACTATTTCTGGTGGGATAACCCTTAACCCTGTTGTTCTTGGAGTAGTAAATGGAGCTGGATTAATAGTGGCGGGAATAGGAAAGAAAAATAATTATAAGAGAAAAATTGAGATGACAAGGATTGCATTTACTAATTATGAAAAAGTACTCGTTGAACTGCGGTCAGCTCTTCGTGGAGATGAGTTTAATAAACAAGAGTTTGTTGATCGCATGAAGTTGGTAGATGAAATGATAATTGACCAAACACCTATAGCAGATAGATTTGTTAGTAGGTATGAAAAAAAGTTTGGTCTAAGTAAACAGTGATTTTAATATCATTTTAATATTAAAATCTATCCGGTTTTGAGTGATTTATAACTATCCCACCAATTTTCATAATTATTTAAAGTGTGTGGTGAAATCCTAAGATATACTAGTTTGCTCGCTTTTCTCGATTCACCCCCCATCTCATCCAAAAGTTTTTTAATTATATATTCAATACTTATCATTCTCTTTCTGTTGTATTCTTTGTTTAGTATTTCCATGACATGATTGTCTATTTCCATTAACTTACTATAAAGTTGGTTTTTTTGTTCGTTGGTTAGGTTTATTATTTTAGAAATTTTATTAACCTTTTTTTCATAGTAATACTTACGTTGATATACGCTCTTTTTTCGATAATGCAATCTATCAAAATCTTTATTATCGTAAAAGCCTAATACATGTCCATTTGCTACTCCACATTCATCACAGATTTTATAACCATAATCAATGGTAAAAGATGTTATGTTTTCACAAGCACAACATTTAGCTTTTAAATTTGATTCATCTGAGGAATTAATACTATAATCACCAAATATTCCAAGATATTTCTTTATTTGGTCTTCTGTATATCTCATTTATTATTAAATTTTATTAAATTCACTTATCTTAAAGCTATGGTTTTTACCTCTCCCAAGAGGACTTTGCGTTTGTCATCTTCATTACTCAAAGCTATTTTGTTAACTTCTTTTGAATATATATCATGATTTTCACTTCTTATTATATTCATTTTCTCATTTGTTTTTTACCTGAAAATAAACATTGTACATAGTCATCAAAATCTAATTTCTTTTTCACAACATTTTTCTTTATTCCTTTACATTTTCGCACCTCTTTATCCTCTTCTATTCTGAAACTATAAAGTTTTGGTCGTAATCCAACAAAACAAGTTTTTTGTTTTCCTGCTACTTCATCTTTAAACATCCCAATTACTTTTTTGTTAACTCCTGACGGTATTCCAGATTCGTGATTAGGAGGATAATCAGAAGTGTCAAACTTTTTTTTTATATCACGAGATATATCTTTGTAAAAATCAACTGTGTGAAAATGGTACATAAGGCTATCAGTATCAGTAACAATAACTCAGCTTTATTTTTGTATTTCTTTCTGATGTAATTATAATGAAAATCAAACATTAATGTTTTTGATAAATCAAGAATTGCTTGACCGACATATACTGGTTTGTCAAAATAAACTTCTGTTTTTTTCATATGAACAGCTATAAGATTTTTATCAAATATCGTAGCCCTTTCAAAGTTTGGACGACTTGTTAGTTTAGCAGCTTTCTTACGATTATCAACGAGTTCTATATTTTGTCTTTTTCGTATATTTTCTATTGTTTTTCCGAACACTGAATTATTCATAAGTTTGAAAAAGTCTTTCTCAAAACTGTTAGCTGCTGTTTTTCGAAGTTCTGTGTTCTTTCGTATATATGGTTCCATCCAAGGTCTTTGGTAAAAAGATATTCCTCTATGAACCGCAGTTATTCTCATTCCCATTTCAAGATACTGCCTTAAATTTCGATAATGAACAACATAGTTTTTTCTTGGTTTAAAATGACAAATTAGTTTTTCAACGCCATTAACAATCATCTTTTCAGGTGCAAGTGGATAGTCATTATGCTCTTCCCTTAGTTTTTTAGGATATTCCAAATCAACTTCAAATATATATCCTTTTCTTCCTCGATTTGACATGCTATGATTTGTTTTTTCTAAAATTTCCATTAGTGACTCTTTTGTTAGGTTTCTCATCCATTTAAATCCATGTGTTGGAAGATTTTGAGACATCGCCCAACCATAAAGATTGTTTGCATCGAGATATTGAATAAATGTGGACTCCTCATCAGGATTATAAGTTTTCATGTATTTGTTATTAGCTTTTGCGTATCTTTTTGATATGTGAGTTATACCACCACGAATACCTTTTTCAATCATCATTAACATATCATAATCATGTAGTAACTGTAATTCCTGCCCTGTTTCTTTGAGACAAGCATCCCAAGCTAAACCTGGAGATGTGTAATAATGCGCTGGATCTAACTTGTAATGTTTTAGACAAGTTTTTCTAAAGTTTTCAAATACATCTGACAAAAGTAGGACATCAGACTTTAGGTAAAGATCGTGATAATCTCTTAATGATTTACATTTAAAAGTATTCCACACGTTTATTGCGTGTTGGTAATCATCTTCCGTTATGTCTTCGTCATTTAGTTTCGAATAAAATTCTTCTTTTGGAGGTAATTGTGTTTCGGATAGTTTTTCAAGTGATGAAACATAATCATAAGGATAAACTCCCTTCCGAGTAAGAAGATCTACATTTTTCTTAAATTCTCGTTTTGTATCACGAAAATCATCCGGTTGTAAATTTGAAACAAGATTAGCAAGTGATGTTTGAAGAAACTTAAATGAATCTATAAAACGAATTTCAAAATATAAAGACATCATTTGACCGGTTTTTTTAGACCTGTACTCATCAACTTTAATCTTTTTAGAAAAGGATATGTATTTTTCCTCTGTTGAAGGAATACAATTTAAATCTCCTGGTAAACTTGCCAGTTGTTTTATAAACAAATGAGCATCATAACCTTGAAGATTATGAAATATAACTGGAAGAACTAAAGGTTTCCTGCAATTAAGATTACAACTGTTATGAGCAGCACCTCGGTACTGACCTGTAAAATGACAATGATCTCTAACTTTGTCTTCCAATAATTCTTTGTTACAAATATGACAAAATTCCGCTTTGTCAAATAATTTTTGTTCGTCTTTGGATAGTATAAGAGGTTTTGGTCTGCGATAAAAATCATTATAAATACCTCTTGTTGCTTCTGTTAGTTTTTCTACGAATATTTTTGCTATATCTTCATCTTCTTTTGTTTTCGAATAAACAATTGGTTTGATTTTTTTATCAACCACACCTTTAATAAAAATACAAAATCCTGAAGGTTCATGTTTTTGGTAATTGTAATTATAAGAATCTTCTGGATTAGGACAGCAAGTATTCATTGGTTTGGTAAAACACTCAAAATCCGCATAAGCTACAAAAGGAATAGGAAGTTGTTTGTGATGATTTTTGAAATGTAAAATCGATCCTGATTTTGGCATTTTCACAGAAACTGTCTCGTTATTCGAACAATATAAAATATCTTTTTGTAATAATTCTTCTTTTGTAAAATGAGTAAAACATCTCTTACAAATATGAATTGGCTCATTTGTTCTATAAGTGATTTGTGACCGAAAAAGACGAGAAAAGTTTTTAATCAGAGAATAATGATATTTTCCATTCTCTTCATAAAGAAATAAATCTATTGATTTTTGAGGGTCACGTAACGCCATCCGGAGGGGATAAAACTTATTGTTGTGAGTATAAATACATTTATACCTGGTAAATCTGGATTAATAGTTTCAAATTTGGTAATGTCTCTGATTTTAACTGGAAAAGTAAATCCCTTAGGAATATTAAGCTCATGCTCATATTGTTCTAAATCTTTCAAACGACAATCATTCTTTTCTCTTGGATGAAGATAACGAAGTATAGACCACAAAAAACATTTAGAATCTTTATTTCGAATACTAACAATTGCTTTTTTTCTCATAATCCAATCTGGAAGAGGAATATAAGAAGAACCTTTCATTGGACTAAATTTAACAGTATGAATTTGAAGTTGAATAACTTCTTTAAAATACCACCCACTACCATTTTGTTGATAAATATTAATCTTTTCTGTGATGTTACTGATAATTTTTTTAAGTAAATCTTTTACATCAGTTGATTTGAGATTAATATATGTATCTGAATGAAAATATGCTTTGTCCTGAATTTTATTTATATGTTTATCATCGAATTCCTCTTTTTCCATCATACAAACCAAAACAAACTTTACTTTGATATTTCGATGATTTCTAAGAAAATCTTTAAGAATAGTTATTTTATTTCCAAAAAACTGTAAGGGAGTAATACCAGGTTCTCCCTTTATTATATGTTTTTTAGCAAATTCATCTAAAGCTGATTTTTCTTTTACAACTCCTTGATTATGCTCCTTAATAGCTCTCTCAAGAGCCTCACGAAAATAAGGAGGGGTATCTTCTGGGATTTCTTTATTTTTAATACATTCTTGAAAATACTCATCAAATGATTTTATCTTTTTGGTTTTTAATTTTGGGTTTTAATTTCTTTTTCCATTCTTTTTTGATATTAACACCTTTTTTTACTTTTTCATTGAGTTTATCTACTTTTCTAATATCACGAATTATTTTTTCTTTTTCAGTTAATTCTTTATAATTTTCCCTTATTATTTGTTTTTTCTGGTTTAATATTCTTTTTAATTCAGCCAAAGATAAACTCTTGTAATCTTTATCAGTTATAAGCGATTTTTCAGCCATTTCCCTTTATAATCTTATTATATTAATTTCTTTAAACCATTTTATTTTTCTGATTCAATTTTAGATAACAGCTTTTACCAGAAAATAGTTGATAACAGTGCTTAATCAGCTAATGACGTATTTAATCAGAAAAAAAAGTCAATGATAGAAAATAACCAGAAAAAAGTACAAGACGTAAGACACAAATTAATTGAACAGTGACAGAAGATAAACTCAAGATTAATTTAAAAAGTACAAAAATTTGTTAGTCTAAATTCCGTCATTGAAATTTTGGGTGGGATGACGGAAATAATTGAATAATGACAGGGAAAAAGTACCAAGTGAGTGAGAGACATGGCATCATTATATAACTACTTAAACATGAACAAAACGATGAAATCCAGCACTCTTCTTTCAGTCGTAGCAAGCTGCATCAATTAAAATCCACCGATATGTGCTGCATTCTCACTACAAATATAAACATTTGTCGTGGAGAAAATACGACGAGGAGGAAAAGATGCCAGATCTTCGCCTAGGCAATGTATTCCAGCTACCAAGCCGGCGTATCTCCAGAAGGTGGACTCGAAGTGGTACAAACCTTGTGATTTTTTAGAGGCCCTTTGCGCGCAAACTAATTTATTCTGGCGCGAAATGAAGATTAAGAAAATGTATCTGAAATCTAATACACGACAAGACAATTTTCGCACTTTCGAGGAGCGCGACATATTAAATAGGATTAAGTCGGATTAGCTGCCCGCGGAGAAAACATCCCTGCGTGGGATCGTACTTCCAGTAAAAAGCCTCTGTGTCCTCTCATGCATTCAGCCTTTTCTTTCGCTTTGGAAATGTCTCTGTCAGCTTCGAGCTTTGCCAACTCTAATTGCTGTTTCAACTCAAACTGTTTCTGGTTCATTTCCATTTCAAGACGTTTGATTTCAATCTCCACTGATCTTTTCCTTTTCAATTCAGTTTGCTTTTCCATTAAAGCAGCCGTTGCCGCCGCCATCTTCGTGTTGTGAAGCCTTTCCCCTGCTTCTCTTAACTTTGAAGCGCGACTGCTTACGGAAAGCACAGATGGTGTCGGCGATGCCAAACCAATGTTTGCTAGATCTCGAGATACTTGCTCGTTAAAATGCGTAGCCGCAGCGATAGTGAATTCCTTAATCTTTCAGGGGCACCAAACGAGAAAATAGTTCAAAACCACTTAACATAGCATTGTTGAACGTATTTTAGTATTCAAACGGCAGATATAGGCATATTTTTATCCCCTAAAATCTTTTCATCTGTTCGGATTTCCTAGCTGAAAGTCTAGTGATCCGAAAATTATAGGGATAAAAACTTACCTTCTCGAAAATTTCAGCCAGGAAAAGGCTCCCGAAAATTCTAGGTGGCCTTTTTTAGGGTCAAAATCCGTTAAAAATGGGTAATTATACCATTTTGTAGATGTACGAAAATCCTAGGAGAGGCAGGCAAGCAAGAAATTTTACAACAAATGCTCCGAAAATTCTAGATCTCAAATCGTCTTCCGAACAGATATTTTCCCGAAAATTGCCGTTGGGTGCCCCTGATTTTTTGACCGTAGTTGTCCTTTCGTAATTCCTGAGAGGCGTACTGATTATTCACTTCGTGAATCTCAATGCTGTTTTCGTCCACAAGACTTCGATAACGTGCAATGCTTTCTCGTTAATTGTTCCATGTGTTATCCAAACTAGCTTGAAGAGATTTTACGCTCGCCAGATTCCCGTAATCGACGAGAAGAGGGTCAATTTGCTGACAAGCTCTTGTCATTGCTGAAACATATCCTACCAGTGACTTTCGTAAGCTGAATAAAGCTTCTTGTAACGCTTGTTCTTGAAATGAACTCGCCATTTTTCTCCGAGAGCTTGAGCGGGTATTCAAGGCTGTCCATAAATGCGCCATACTTTACTCCGTCATTTGGAATTTACAAAATGAACGGGCAAGGGCCAATTCCAAAAACACAACACGTTCACGATCAGCAAATGTTTTTACTATTAACGAACCATAAAAGTAAATTCCTACAAAGAGCGAAAAATAATAGTTACAATACAGAAAAACTACCTTAAGGCGACTGCAAAATGAAATTAATAAAAAACGATGAAAACGAAGCTGCTTACCAAATGCTGAGGATGACAGGGTTGGTGGTCAGGGCCACTGAGGAAAAAAATCTACTTCCACTAATGCTGTTACACTAATAGACACGTAAACTGGTAAAAAAAAAAAGGGGGCGAGATAACAAACTATAACGAAATTTACATACAGCACGTAACAAAGGAGCGTAATTAACGAAATACCGGAGAGCGAAAAGAAAAAGAATACACGATAACAAGTAAGTGAGAAAACGAAAAACAAAAGGAAAAAATTGCCCCAACAGATACTTTTTCATTCTTTTATGCGGGCCTTTCTTAAAAACGCTGAAAACGATTCATTATTACCGCCCGTAAGAGACTTAGATTATCATTATCTATCAGGTATTCAATAAAAGCTAATTGAAAGGAATTTTAATGTTGCTATTCTGATCCTTTGAAAATGTACGATAATTCTATCTCCATAAAAATTTTATGCGTTTCATTATCAGTTTTTTAAAAATTCATGTTATTATGTATAGATTTTGGGGTAAGAACGAAGTTGGATAAAAACGTTTAATATACTCCACTTGACCTTTGCACAGAATAGTTCTTCACTCTGGGAAGGCGTAGCTCAGTAATCCAGAAAACTATCGACTCGATTCCTGGTTAGAGATGTAGCCACTAAATAGAGCTGGAGTAGGGATGCATCAGTTCTTCCAAAGCACTCTACTTACATTTACATTGTTGAACAAGCAACGAAAAACTCAAAAAACACCCTCGAAAAGGGATACAAATTTTTATTTGAAAATGACTGTCACGACGGTTATGTAGGCTTATATGGACAATAAATTCATGCACAGGGGAATGCTTTAAATCACTGAGGAAGAATGAAAGGCCTCACAATGTTAACAGCTGTGATAAATGCTCTTGTACAGCAAGAGGAAATGGTTACTGTAATCACATGTTTATATAAAATAAATATGTATTTGAATGCACTGAATTCCCAAGAACTGGAATGTGCACAACTCTAAACAGTTTGAGTAGCACAAAACAAGGACCTAGGGTGCCAACCCTAATTCATATAGTGCATGCAAGGTATGCATATAATGTCGACAATGCTAATTACAGGGAGAAATGCTCAGGGAGAAATGGGGGCTTTAAGGTGTCCCTTTTATGCAGCCAGGCAACATACTGTCCAAAATAAAGAGAGGCCAAATTTGTTCTTTCATTCACTTAAGACAATTAACTATCCTGCAATAGTTTCAACTTAATTAACTGGACACAAGGTTCCACGGGTAGTGAGTTAAACATCTCTCTCTAATGGAGGCAAACCTCAGTGTTATAACCACTATTCCAATTTGCCAAGACCTAGAGCTGTTGATGGCTGCTTTCCTGAATTCCCAATTGACAATAACACACCAGCTTGAGTGGGATTGCAAATGCCCCTATTTTCAAGGGGAGCAATTTATAAGTTGTTTAAAAATTCCTAATCCATCCTTAATAGAGAATCAAAAGGTCAGAGCAAAAATACGTTGTGGTTTCAAAGTAAAAGGTTCAGGTCAACTAGCTCTAATTTTCACTTGTTTGCGAATGGAAACTTATCATCTCTCACTGAAAACAAGGTTTGTTCAAAATACTCTCGTGTCACAGAATGATGTTTCTAATAATATTGAATGGCAAATTGGTCATGCTGAGTACATGAAAAATATTGGTTTAGCATGTATATTTATATGTACATATCCATTCATATTAAGAGCTTACAGTGTGGCGGTGTTGTCATATCAAGCACAATGTCATATTTGGCTGCTTTACCAAACAGAAGAGTGATGGATAATAAATATCAAGTTATGGTTTATTAGAAATCAAATGCCCTTTTACATTAAGAAACTTTACACCTGAGAAGGCAAGTTCTGATCCATGGTTTTATTGTCACATAGTTAACGGTAAGCCTGAGCTCAAAAGGGTCCACCTTTTTCAGGTCATTTGGGTTGGGCAGGATTAAAGTGGTGCTGTCTTCAATATTCTTTCAAAAAAAGACTGGTTACATCTCACTTAATATTTAGCAGTTTTTTTACCTTCTACCTCTAGAGCTAAAATTTCAGATCATAGTTCAGAAATTTCAGCGCCGGATTCGTGTAAGCTGTGTCGCTAAGCATCATTTGGCTCAACACACACCTCACTTCTGTGGTGTATACCATATTTGGTTTCCCTCGAATCAGATTCCTGTTCAACTTTATCTTATTTTAGATCTTACGGATAAGGTATGCCTTGTGTACAGGGCATTTAAACACCGATCGAGGGAGGCTGCACGTTTTCAGAAGCTACCGACCAGTATTAAAAGACAATGCAATACAAAGCTTCCGAAGTCATCATCCCCAAAATGAAAAGAACGGACGATTGTATGTTTCTGCCCCAAGCAAAAAAAGCAATATTTGAGAGATGAATATAGAGGTACGAATTAGAACCCACATACAAAAAGACTAAGGTACACGACTTTACGGTCGAGTACTCCTCCCTTTTAATTCGCTGCAGCCGTGCTAGGTTCTAATACATGATGATCGCCTGGAGTCTTATGTCACATTTCTTAACGTTGCGTTTGTTATCGAACATGATCTCGCCGTATAACTTGCAAAGACGAAAACGCACAACTGCGATTACTTTAGCCT